CTTCCTCCCAGCATCCTATTCCGTTTACTCCTCCCACCTATGTTTTAACCTATCAGGGCCAAGGAGTTTCTTTATTGCTTAACCAATGAAATCAACAGATTGATATATGACACTCCCACATCACATGTGGGAGGTAAAGGCAAGGAAGAACAGGAGGAGAAGATGCTCTTCTGTAGAAGGAGCAGCGGGCTGCATTCCTGCCGCACAGCTCCTGGCTGCCTGGCTAGCTTATGCCCTGAAATGACAACATGGAAACTGTATTCTTTTAAACATTGCCTGGCCCATTAGTTTCAGCCTCTTCTTGGCTAACTCTCACATCCTGACTAACCCATTTCTAGTAATCTGTGTAGCACCACAAGGTGGTGGCTTACCAAGAAGATTCTAGCGTACATCCATCTTGGGCCGGAGCTTCATTGCGTCTGCCCTGGAGAGGAGTGGCATGGCGTCTGAGCTCATGTCCCTTCTTCCCAGCATTCTGTTCTGTCTACTCCACCCACCTAAGGGCTGGCCTATCAAATGGGCCAAGGCAGCTTCTTTATTAACCAATGAAATCAACAGATTGACATATGACCTTCCCACCTCACTCTTCAGCTATGAAGAAAGACTGAGGCCAGTCTGAGATACCAAGACCTTGTCACAGAAACAAACAAATCCTCTGGGATATGTTACAGAATATTCCTTTACACCGTGTGTATGCCTCTATCGTTGGTTTAATAAAGAAGCTGACTGGCCTATACCTAGGCGGGATACGTTTAGGCAGGAGAGCCAAACTAAGAGGACACTGGGAAGAAGGGAAAAGTCTGAGGGTCTTGAGAGGAGGCACAGAGAGAAGCAGGATGAATTTGCTGTGTTGAAAAAAGGTACCGCCATGTGGAAAGGGTCGATAAGAAATATGAGTTAATTTAAGTGTAAGAGCTAGTTAAAAACAGGTCTAAGCTATTGACTGAGCATTTATAATTAATAACAAGTCTCTGTGTGGTTATTTGGGAACTGGCTGGTGGGAAAGAAAAGTCCGCCTACAATATGTCATCTATAATGGGCTTTTTTTCTGATTGAATGCTGTCATAATTACATGCAAAAGTATTTGGGGACCAGAGATTGGGGTCAGTGAATGACTTAGTGGGTAAAGATATTTACTGTGCAAGAATGGTAGCTAACCTGAGCTTGTTATCTGGAACTCACAGAAAGGCAGAAAGACTGAACTGACTCCACAAAATTGTTTTCTGGCCTACATGCACACACACACACACACACACACACATGCACAATGCACACACACATGCATACAACACATATACACATACACACATATACATATACCATGGTATGCATGCTAATACACACATCATATACATACACACATATACACATACACAATAAAAATAAGAACAATATTTTTTAAAAGTACTTGAAAATCAATTTTGAAAAATGAGATAGATTAACAAGTTGACTAAAAACTGTTGAGGTTAATGTACCCAGAGTTACAATAAAGAACAAATCTATTTCTTATACAAGTCATAAATGAGAGTGGAAGGCCATTGCCGAAGTTATTTCGAATGAGGATCACTTTGAAGGACAATGTTCATTCAGATACATGATGCAATGCTCATTTAGGAGGTCCCCTGTCTCATATGTTTATTGTCACTGCCTCTATATACCAGTTTACAGAAGGACAATGACCAACGATCAATGACAGCACACAGCAAGCAGAACACAAGTCAAGTTACAATCTGCACGTAGAGTTGACTCAGAACATTGTAGACTCCAAAGGAGCAAGAGAGAGCCTGGATGAGCCAGGACAACAGCAACAAGCAGATGTGATATGACAGAAGGATGAACGTGACTTCACGGGCTCAACATCAGCCCGAGTTGAGAGGCACTGTGATGCTGGGAAAGCAGGCGCCTGGCCTTCCAGGGCACGAATGTGGAGCGGGAAGTTCATCAGAGGCTCCCCTCACTAACAAAACTGAAACTAAGATTTTGTTTAAAATATGATCTCCCCAATATTCGCTCCCAGATTGTTCTTTCTCTGCGTGTAGATAGGTGTGTAGTGTGTGTACAATTGTGTGTACTGTATGCACAAGTGTGTGTACATGGACAAGTGCACAGCGGCAGAGGAGGTAGTTGGGTGGCCTGCTCTATCGCTCTCCACCTTATTCCCCTGAGGCAGGGTCTCTCATTGAACCTGGAGCTAGGTTAGTGGCCAGCAAGTCCTAACAACTTGCTGTCTCCCTCTCCGTCAGTGTGGTTGGAGACTACTTCTGACCTTGTACTAACCATCCTGTCTCCATCTCCCTCAGTGTAGCTGGAAACTACTGCTGACCTTGTCCATGAGCCTGGGGATTTAAACCCATCTTCTCATGCTTGTATGCCTCCCAGGCCCCCATTTATTCTCCACTCCAGTCACCTCCTCTGCCTGTTCCTAAACTGTCTCCACCCATACAAAAGAACTTGAGGGCCTCTACATTAATTTATTTATCCATCAGGTATTCATCCCTCCATGTGCAAGGCTCTGTGCTTAAAGGAAAGAGTATGTGTCCTGCCCTAATTAACCTAGTGACTTAATAAGGAGACAGATGAGTAGATGGTCAATAAATGCAGCAGGGTCAGTGTGCCAGGCAAATTAGGGCAGGAATGCCAAGGGAGACTTGTCCCAGGCTTTTTCTTTTAGGCCACCAGCCAGCTCCCAATCATGACACAGAGACTTAGTATTAGTTATGAATGCTCAGCCTAGCTTCGGCTGGTTTCTGGCTTGCTCTTTTAGCTTAAGTTAACCTGTTTCTTTTTACCTCACTTTTGCCTCAGGGCTTTTTTCTTTTCTTTCTTTCTGTATATATTCAGTTTCTCTTGTCTGACTGGCAGTTGCCTGTCTTCTGGACCCGGGCCAGGTCCCTCTATTTCCCCCTTGTTCTCTCCTCTCCTCTTCTCTCATCTTTCTTCTCTTGAGCCTAGATTTCTCTTCCTACTTATTCACCTCTGCCTGCCAGCCCCACCTATCCTTTCTCTGCCTAGTTATTGACCATTCAGCTCTTTATTGGACCAATCAGGTGCCTTAGGCAGGCAAGGTGAATCAAATGCAACACATCTTTACATAGTTAAACACACATGCTTATATTGATAAACAAATGCAGCACAAACAAATGTAACACATCCCTGTGCAGTTAAAGTAACATCCCACAACAGAAACTTCCACTCGAAGGTACTTCTCACCTGAGACCTGAGGAATTCACCAAATAAGAAAAACAGGACTGGAGAGATGGCTCAGTGGAAAAACACTTGCTGTGCAAGCCAGAGACCACCTAAGCTTAATCCTTGGAATCCCCACAAAGGTAGGAGAGAACCAGATCCATAAACATGTCCCTGACTCCACGTGTGCACCATGGTACACTAGTGTCCCCGGGGATGGTGATGCTGATGAAGGTGATATGTAACAGTGATAACTGAAAGGTTTCTGCACCCTGATAAGCCTCTCCGCCAACACAATAATCCAAATCAAACTGGATCAAACAGAATTAGAAAAAGCCCAGGTTTAATGGATACCAGCGCTCCCAGGAGGAATTCCAGCCTCCCAGAGAAAAGCTGAGGAGGAAAGACCAGAAAACTGGGTTTCTTCTCTGGGGGTACAATTTAAATACCCTGTGGGAGTGGTCTTCAGCTTCTCTGGGGAGGGGTCATTGTTTGGTGGGCTTTCTCAGAGATGGAGTCTGGACTGAGGCAACTCCTAGGGGAGGGGGCTTGGGATAGAACTTCCACTGGAACATTCCAAACTCTTTGAATATATGGGCGCCAGGGACTAGGGTGAGGCTTTAGCCCAAACATTCCAGACTCTGGCTATATGGATACCAGGGGCTGAGGTGAAGCTTCCACCCAAATAATAGTAATTAATAATAATAATGATAATGATAAATAGTTTTAAGAACAGAAAAGAGGGGACAGGAGACCCAACACCCTCTTCTGGCCTCCAGAGGCTTCTGTGTGCATACAGTACACATATGCATGCACTTAGACTCACACACATAAAAATACTTATTTTCTCGAAATTAAAAAGGAGAAGACGAGTGGTAGAGTGGGGGCAGCGTGTGGAGGAAAGGGGAAGCCAGTATCGTAGAGGAACTCAGCCATTTCTGATGACTGGAGCAGAGGGGAGGCATTGAGGGCAGAGAGGAAGGGGTGGCTGATAAGGGCCTAGATTCACACTGAGGAGTCCAGGCTTTAGTGTGAGGAGGATGGGGGCAGGGCAAACAGGAATAGTGGATCTAACTTTTTGAGAAATCCCTCTGGCTTCCTGGTGGGCAGCAGGGTGCAGCTGGCCGGAAAACAAGTTAACTCTGGACGCAAATGATTGTTTGGGACTTCAGCTGAAGAGAGCCGTGGAGATGAAAATGAGTTCCAGAGGCAATAAAGAAGCTGAATGGGCTGGCGTGAGCCCTGCTCACTGGGAGGATGGCCGTAAAGAGGGAGACAGCTGACTGTAGGCAGGATTTTTGTAGCACAGTTGGTGCCGCCACTCCTGGAGACAGAGAACAGGAGGAGCTCTGGAGGAGGCGGATGTTATGACTCAGGTGTGGACTCTGAGTCGGAGGCACCTGTTGGACAGACAAGCAGCAGACAGGGAGGCCTGGAGCTCTGGGATCTGATCACTGTGGGCTATAGCAGCAGAGACAGAGGAGGGGTTAAACTTAATAAAAGGGGGGCAAAGCTAGAACCCTGAGAATAGCAGGCTCATGCTCCGACCAAGCTTTCTGAAACCTTCCTGCCTAAGTAAACCTTTCCTCTAGCACAGATATTAGCTACACGACAGAGTTACATGTAGGACCCATCCATGACAAGCTCAATAGAGGCTTGAGTCCAGTAGTTTACCCTGGTTCCAAGAAGACCACAAACTGAGTCTACCCAGGCACCACCCAGGAACAGACAATCCAAAGGAAATTCCTAACATTCCAACCACTGTAGATAGGATCGCCTGCCAGCACACACCCATTGCTTTTCACCAGGACACCCCTAGACACACACCAGCCAATCAGGGGTCCCAAACCTTGGAAATCACTTATCCCCACCTTTGCTACTACAACAATCCAACCCCAACTGAGCTGGGTACGTTGGACACAGAGAGAGACTGAGTTTGCAAACGTGTAAGAATAAAGACTCTGCTTTTACATACAAGACTCAGTCGCCTAGTTGGTTTGGGGGGACTTCATGATCTGGATATAATATTTAGGAGCTTGTCCAGGATCCCCCAGGCCCACCAGGCCCACCGCCCTGTAGAGCTGTCATCAGCTGGTAAGTTTTCTGTTTTTTTTTTTTGTTTGTGTGTGTGTGTGTGTGTACATTTCTTTTCTCAAGTCTTTCTGTTGGGATATCCTTCTATAAATGGGCCCAGAATCTATGAGAGCCTGTAGATGGTACACAGCTGCGTGAAAAGATCACAGGCGGGTACCTTGGGAGATATCCCCAGGGCCCTTCTGTGTCTGGATCCCAGGACCTTTCTGTAGAGGAGTGGATCACTCTGGCTTCTGTAGGTGGACATGTGAGATGCTCCCGGGGTCTCAGTTCTGTAGATAGACCGGTGGGCTGCACCCACAAAAGAGCTTGAGGCTGTTGTCTTCAGTTCAGTTTTGCCTCCAGGCACTAGCAGTATTAATCTTTTAAAGCGGGTGTGTGTGAGTAGAGACAAACATGGGACAGACAAAACAAGCACGAAAGGAGGAGACACAGACACCCGGCTCCCACGTGGGTGCGCTTTAATGGGGGAGGGGTAGCACAATAAGGGACAGGTGTGCAAGACGCGGAAGGGTGAGGGGAAAAGAGAGCAAAAGCTCGTGGGAGCTCGCTTTTTAACGGGGAACACAAGGGTGTCTGGGAGAAATGTCCTGCACCTGCACGCGCAGGTGTCCGTAATCCAGGAGGAATCTGGGAGCTGTAGTTTCCAAAAGGAACAACATTCCACCCTTTTGGTTTTATTAAAAAAAAATTGGGGGGGGGTCTTAAGGGGTAGGGAATGGGGGCGTAGCCTGGTCTCTCATGACTGCTTCCTGCTGACTTTGGGCATGGAGGGGTCCAGGGAGTGTCCGGTTATTTTGACGGTGTCCTCCTGGTCACGTCTTGTCCGCTGGCGTTCTGAGATGGCTGATTGTCCGATGATCTTGATGATGTCCTGTTGGTTATGTCCTATCCGCTGGTGTTCTGAGATGGCTGATTGAAGAAATCACATTTGTCTGGCTTTTCCTGAGTAGCTGGGTCATCGTTAAGATGCTGGAAGGCAAAAATCGCATTAGTGGAGAAAGAAATTAGGGAGAGGAGATTTGGAAGGTTTGGAAGATTAGAGGGGAAATTTGGGGGCGGGGGAGTTTTGGGAGGAGTTTAGGAATGATTAAAAAAAATAATTAAATGATACTTATTCCGTTACCGATCCTCTTGTGTTTTATCTGCTTAGGTGGACTGACCTGTCATGCAGGACTCTATTGTTTTGTGTGTTGTTTTGTTTTTGTCTTTTGTGCGTCCTCTATTCTGACTTAGGAGGCTGCTGTGTGATGGGGCAGACTCAAATCATGACTTCTTTGACTTTGATATTGGATCACTTACAAAACTTTAGAGATAGGGCTGTAAGCATGGGTGTAATGGAAAAATTAAAAATGGTGCAGAATTCCCGAGTAGCTGCAGTGGCAGAAATGCTTCAGGTCCCCAAGCGGTGGCAGCGGGCCATGTGGCTGCAGGCAGCAGGCCCTGAGAGCAGCCAGTCCCAGGCAGGGACGGCTGCAGGTCCCGGAGCAGTGGCTGGTCCAGGGCAGGGAGACACCAGAGCTGCTCTGATCATTCAGATCCAATGGGTTACAAATTTCTGTCATCATTTAGAGGGGCTGGTTACAAGTTACTATTGGTTAGGGTATGGAAAAACTACTGTTCATCTTGGATGTTTCATGCTGGTACAGGATTTTATGTGCTATAAAATTAAAGTTATTTTTGTTCTAGTATATGAGTGCTTCTGTTCTTGTTTAAAATATTGTAGACATACAATATATTATTAGACTACTACTGAGAGAAACCATAAGGAAGACTTTGGTAAGAGTTTTTACTTTGTCTGCGAAGACTTTGGTATGTTGTCTGAAAAGCAAGGGAGAAAGCAGAAGACTGAAAAAATGAAGAGAGGAAAAATGGATTGAAGGTATATAAAAAGTTATAGAAGGTCAGAAGGGGACGTGAGCTATGTTTTCTGTGGTTTCTCATACATGCAAATACTGAATGTGCTTGTTTTGTTGAAAAGTTTATCTATGTAAGTTTTCTTGCAAGCATGGAGCTGAGACAAAAATGGTTTGGATATTTTTGCTGTCTCTACCACCCATCACTGCTGTGGCCACATTTATGGGCCTGACCTCAGAATTTATCTCTGAGCTCTGGTTACTGGATTTAGGTTAGCAGAAATTCAGATGACTTTTTCGTATAGATAATGTTAAAACTGTTTTATGCTGTTTTTACTGAAAAACTAGCTGTAGAGTTGGATTATGGCTCTTCCTTTGTTAGACCCATGTTTATTTAAAAGTCTCCTCTGTGACTCTGTCAGTCTGAGTTCCTGACACAATGACAAGGAGAAGAAAACAAAGCAGAACAGTCAAAAAATTGGACTTGGTTTATGTGAACCTTCTATGGCTTCAGATTTAATTTTATTTATTTATTTATATGGCCAAAATTCTGTTAAAATTAAAATAAAACTTGTTAAAAGTTAATTAGTATCACTAGAAATTGATGACTTAAAATCTATGCATGGGTAATTTTAAAGAAATTATAAGGCATGATCCCATTTTAAAGTTTGTATTGCCATTTTGCTAGGGTTAAAAAGAATGGATGCCATATGATTTTACCGCCATCTTGATTAAAGGTGACCACGTGGATTAAAGGAGTGCCACGTAGGAGGCAATGACAGATCTCCAAGATAGTTTGGACTGGGACAGATTTTTGCAGGAAGACTTATGTTTCATTCTAGAAACAAGGTTTAAAAAAAGTATATAGGACTTAAAGTATCAAAACTACATCTCAATGTTATACTAAAAAATGTACCTTGCTCTGCCAGCTAGACTTTGTTAATTTAAAAGTCACCCAGGTGATACTGGTTATGAAGACATAAATGGACCATGGGAAAGAACTGAAGCTTTCAAATGTATGGCAGGATTAAAGTCCCAAAGAAAGTCTACTTACAAGGATTGACCTTAGTAGTGTTCCAAATGCCAGTGCCAGGTGAGAGTCACCAGAAGCACCAGATACAGTGAAATGGAGCAGGCTGAGCTCTAAAAGACAGGCTATGTATGTGCTGTCAAGGGTGGGGCCAAAGAAGTACTTTAATTTTTGTTGAAATAGGAGTGGCAGGGCTGCGTCCCCGGCACCTGGCCGCCCGCATGGCTAGCTTATGCCCAGAAATAATTACATGGAAACTGTATTCTTTCAAACACTGCCTGGCCCGGCTAGTTCCAGCTTCTTATTGGCTAGCTCTTACATATTGTTCTAACCCATTTCTAATATTCTGTGTAGCCCACGAGCTGGCTTACCTGGGAGGATCTTAACCTGTGTCTGTCTGGAGTGGGAGAATCATGGCAACTCCTCACTCAGCTTCTTTTTCCCAGCATTCTCTTCTGTCTACTCCGCCTACCTAATTTTCTGTCCTATGAGGGCCGAGGCAGTTTCTTTATTATTAACCAATGAAAGCAACAGATAAGATACAAGACCCACCTCCATCAAATTTTGATATTGTAGAAGACATTTAAGAGATTTTAATTTTTTAAAAAAGTTTTTAAAATGCTTAAATTTTATAAGGCTGTGGAACATCTGTGCTTATAAAAATGTTTTATATTGTTAATATTTAAACTTAAAATAAAGCTAAAAATTAGGATCACAGCCATAAGCAAAAAATGCTAACCAGAAACTGGGATGTTTATTTCTTCGAATGCAGCAAGACAATGACCTAAGCAGTCTGGCAAAGAACTTGAAACAGTTTTTCAGCCCATTGAGTTGCAACCTTTTGGTGGTTAAAACAAACAAACAAACCCTTTTTACAGGGGTAGCCTAGGACCACTTGCATGTCAGATGTTTGAATTAAGATTCATAACAATGACAAAACTGCAGTTGTAAAATAACAGGAAAAATTTTGTAATGGGCTCAACATAACGTGGGATACTATTAAAGGGTCAAAGCATTAAAAAGTTAGAATCATTGGCTTAAAATGATTACTCTTTACTCATGTCTATTCAGACATAAGAATATATCTAGCCTCCTTGTCTTCCTTAATTCTGCTAAGCTTAAACTATTTGGATTAAAATGAGTCATATGAATTTTTTTTGTATTGATACTAAGAGAAATTTCAATTTAAAAATTGTTTTCTAAGGCTCATACTTAACAGTCTGCACTCAGGTATTATTTATTTATCCTTCTGGGATAAATAAAAGTATTGTTGGCTAGGTGAGCTATAATGTTGTCAGTGTAGCAGCAACAGGTACACAGATCCTTCTACAAAGCTATATCCAGTTTGTTTGTGCTCTCTCTCTCTCTCAATATATATCTTTGATATTCCCATACCCCCCCCCAAAAAAACACCTTATCTCCTCGTTTTCTTAAGTTGACTCAACTTGATTTTTGGTACCACAACAGGGCCCCAATAATGACTGTTCTGATCTGAGCCCTTCCTTGGAGGATGGGCCTCTGCTAGCAGCCCCTCCTGTTGGCCTTTTTCTTCTTGGTGCTTGCAGGGGACCTCCCTTCCGGAGTTCTTACTATTTCCAACATTCATTCCTTCTTAGTCTCTGTGCTGGGTCTCCCTTCTCTGCTGTCTAACTCCCAGCTTCTTAAACTTCAGGTCACAACCCAATCATGTATTAAGAGCAGGAGCCCCAAAGCATTAGCAAGAGAAAAACGTGTCTGAACACAGAGTGACCAAAAATTAGTTAAAAATCAATTGCATAGTGATTCAAAGATTAATTCAAAAAGCCAGTGTAGTGTGGATCCTAGGTGTTTCTGTGAGTGCAACATCGGGCTCCCACTCTGCACTGTAAGATGCTAAAAACTATCAGGCCAGAACCTGTGGGTGGAAACACCCTGTCCAGATTCGAGAGCATTGTCTGTTGGAAGTTGCAGGGTTTTAACCACTTGGACAAAGGTTTTGCTCTTTCAGAAACATAATGGTTTAAGAACACAGAGACTTCCAACATTTCCCTACAGTCATTCCTCAGATGGTAAAAATCATATTAGTTTATATTTATATCTTTAGACTGTATTGTATTAGAATGTTTGATTTTAAA